TGACTCGCTACTATAACAATGCTAGAAAACTTTGTTTAAAGCATATTTCTACCAATACCTACTTATATGGATATACTGTGTTTTTCAACAGTAGGTCATACACAAACAAAAAGTAATTGGCTTTTATACTTATGCATAAATGATGGGCAATAAAGCTATGTTAAAATATATATCAGGTTAAAAATCTAACCTTCCAACAGCTTGATCCAACAGGGTCAATATATTTTAGTATTGCCGAATGCAAAGTTATGTATGCATTCAAAAAAATATCAAATAAACTAAACAATGGCTTCCTTATTATTTCTTGTATCTATAGGTTATTTAGTTTATAGCAATGCATTACCCTCCACTACAGATACATTCCATATTACATTATAAAGGAAGATATTTGATACCAAAATTTGTAAAAAAAGAGACATTGCTAGTCTCCCAAGAACCGAAAGTTAAATAAAAAGATTTATAATACTATCATCATTTTATGGGGAAGGTACAATAAACACATAGATCTGTGAACCAAACTCGACAGTCATCTACATCACAACCATAACAGAGGGGTATCGATTGTTGATTCAAACGACTTATCGTTCGTTCAGAGTGAGGGACGTTGATATGTACGCGTTGTCACGGGCTCGGCATTAAAGAGATACTGCGCAGCATAAATTTGCCAGTTGGATTTGTGAATTAAGTGGGCTTTTATTTGTTGTGTCACGTGCCGCGGAAGGGCGTACAGATCCCGCGCCTATTTAACCCGTAATAAAGTTTCAGTCCCCCCTTTTCATTCCTTTGAAAGGAAACCAACATGTTCTACGGAAGCCAAATTATTATTTACTTCTTATTTGAAAATAAATATTTTTCTGGCCGCCTCATAACCTTGTGCTGTTACGTTTTTTTAATCCTGAGGCGGATTTCATTCGAAATAGGTAAAGGGTTCACACGTACTGTCGGCGGTTGCAATTTCCTTTTGTGGCGTTCATTCGTTAAATTTTCATCGGTCCACGGGGCGGATCTCCGTTCACGAGCTTTATTATTTAATTTGTACCGGATATTTCACGTTCATACATTTAAAATTATAAACTAAATTGTTAAGTTAGTGTCAAATGCCATATCAGAACCTATTTGTTTATTTATCTATTTGTTTTTCTGTAGATAAACTAAACTGTTAGTTAAACGATAATAACTAGACTCGTATTATTTGATTACTCCTCTATGTATATTAGAATATAAAGTGATTTTCGGATTCTACAGTTGTTTATTATTTTTCTATTCTATAATTTTATTCTATCCAGTTGTTTAAGTAAGAACAAATAGCTAATGTACAATTTTCCACATACGGTATTATCGTATTACAGACTCCTATTTAACAAACTATTTCGAATTTTAGTGGTACTGAAATAAAAACCACAATACACCTTTTATTATTGGTTATTTGGATGTAATACAACCACGTCTAGTAGAGGTGATTTTTTATGTTATTACGATGACAAACTGACAACCGACCTGAATGAGTGATAGAATAAAAAAAATGTGACTTCAAAAGTGCTAATATTAATTTTATTTGAATAAAGATTATTTCTATTTCTATTTCTGAATGTACTCAGTAACTACATATTATATACTCGGTGGTCTATTTACATGAACTAAGGATATTACGTTACCATATTATATCATCATGTTGCCATTCCGTAGGACTAAGAGATCATATCTTAATTTCACTCGTTTATCTCAACCTTCATATAAAATACATATCGATAAACAATCTTTTTAGCGTCTGGAATAGAGAAGATAGTTGACAGTACTACAGACAGACAGTACATTTTATTTGATATTGTATTTTTTACAGTGAATAAAATATTTTTCTATATTTAGAAATTATACTTCGGTAAAAAGACCCCATAGTTAGTAGGACCCTAGGGTAAATATTAAAATATGAATATTAATCAATTCATCAGACTTTCAATCTAAAACAAAACATTTACTAAGAATAATTTACTTCTACTTCTACATTCGATTAATTTAGTGGATTTATTTTTAGTTCTATATTTTTTTTTATTTTATACTTACTTTGTAACATTTAGTAGTCTGTTAATACATCGCAGGGATTTTTAGTAGTTTGTGGTTACGTTGTAATTGTATAGAATCGAAGTAATTGTATAGAAATTCACTATCTAATTGGTAGGCTACGAGTGGCGGTTCTTTTATATATGCGTAAATTATGATTGCCTGATTTATGATATTCATTATTTAAAATAAATATCATAAATCAGGTTAAAAAGATCGAACCTTCCAACAAGGTTCAAAATATTTTAGGGCTGCCGAATGCAGAGTTAGGTACGCATTTAATTTATCAATTAAACTACACAATGGCGTCTCTATTATTTTATGTTTCTATACGTTATTTAGCTTGTAGTAATGCATTTAGTAGTTCGTAGTAATGTAATTGTATAGAATAGAAGTAACCGTATAGAAATTCACTAACTAATTGGTAGGTTTCGGGCAGTATTTTACAATGTTTATTGAACGTTTGAAACCGCACTTTCGCAAACCTTGTCTGATCAAACCCTCACATAAGCTTCTTGTACGAATGTCATCGAGGTCGAGTGTTAACAACCGGCTTAACATGCTTTCCGAGGCACGAAGCGGATTTTATTTGTCCCGTACTTGGACCAAGTATTTGAAAAACAACTCAAACATGTCTCCCAGTCGAGGTAATCAAAGCTTAACTTCTGGTCAACTAATTTTTCGTATCTGTTGATTTATATCACTAATTATTATTTGCTATTGCTTTAGGCTTTATTTATCTTTAATTATTAAATAAATAACTTAATATTAGTACGAACGTAGTAGAACGTATATAGTCTTGTCGTAGATATTATTGAAAAAAATAAAATGTACTAGACGCAAAAAAACTAAACTCTACCTCGGGTTTTCAAGATATTTCTTTCATAATAATAGCAGCGGAATTGAAAACTGACACATGACATATTTCTTACACATAATCTTATTTGACGTGATCGAAGAAAATTTATTTCATACAAATATCAAGCAGGTTTAGGAAATCTGTCAAAACAACATTCAACCCGTTTTCTATTATCGATATTTGTAGCCATACGAAAATACTAATGCGAAGAAAAATATTGAAACAAATGAAAAGGTACAAAAGAATTAATAACTATTTTAAAACCTTTTATTTCTAGTAATATATTATGTTTCCAATAATTCTTATCAAAGTATTGATTTATAATATAATATTTTTATTTTATTAATTTAAATAATATTATCATTATTAACTTTTTTACGAAACTATTATTGCTATATTTCGGGTTGTTAGTGTTGTATCTAATATTTAAAAGATATTTCTAGTATTATTTATATCTACTTAAATAACATTTATTAATATTGTCTTTTTTTCGTGAGAATGGACAACAACCGCGATTTCTGTGACCTAGATATTGGGAGTTGAAAGCGTGGGTGGAATGTCGCACTGAGTAGGTACAAATTAATATCAACAGTAATTCAAGGTTATTATATTAAATTACTTGTTAAGGGTAAAAATGGAATCCATCCTAGTAATAATAATACTAATACCTTTTAACTATTTTAGGTACTATGACATAAAATAGTTAAAAAGTATTGTTCTAATTATTTCCTACTTACTTAAATATAGCAAAATTTTGCTTATTTACATGTTCAGCATAGAGTTAACGAATAGCATTGTAACAACAATTTTCTTTTAATTTTTCACACTAGGTATATTAAAATAAAGTAAATTTGATTTTGTATTTAACATATTCTGTAAAAATCGCGTAGGCTGTTGAATGCACAATTACGAGTATTTTGTATGTATATCTGAGTTGCTTGCTTTCACAGCATCTCGACTAATAAACTACATGCCCTTTTATATTTTTTTTCAATTTTATATATTTGCGTGGCTATAATGATGAAAAATCTACATATATGTAGTTTTCAAAGCTTCTAAATATTGGTATACCGTATTTTGTGCTTTTCCAAATAGTTCCTGAATGTCTACCGATTTGTGGTGGACAACATGAGGATACTAGAAAGTCTTATTGTATCGAGACGGACTACTGATCGAGGTAAATTGATATTCTACGGCCATTTGTTTGAAGCCTACTACATCATACCTACTGAAAGAACCTACTGTAACTTCAAGGTTTCATCGAGTCTACAACTTTTATGATCGAATAAAACGTTTACGTTACGGTTTAAATAGGTTTGTACTGTGAATATCGTGGAATATATTTGAATTTTTTTGTAAGATGATTTTCATATTACTTTCATACTATCATATCATAATACTTCTAATTTATTTCCATTTAATAAAACTTAGTAGTAATAATAAAATTGTTTCTAATAGTAATAAAGTATAGATACGTCGAAGCTGATCTGGAAAGGTTCTAAATTAGTGTTGCTGTGATATGCAGATAAACGACCACCAAGACATATGTGTGTATCTATTGAAATTATAATAATTTGTTTTAACAACTGACTAAATATCTCTAAAATGTTATAATACTGAATAAAATCATCTATTGTTAAACATATTAATAACCCGTAAAAACAATAACCTATCTACAGCACATAAAGTTCAAATCAAACAAGTTACAAGTGAGACAATGATATGAATATTTTATCAAATGCCTCAATAATAGATACCTACTTTAGAGGTCACAAATAATTTATTTATAGCAACGTAATCCTCCATTGCCTCTCAGCGATCCTTCCACAGGTAATAAAAACGAGCAAGTTAACAAAATACAAAAACGTGATGCCAAAAACCGATGGACACAGAAAATTCGGTGAACGACGTTAGATAAGCTCATACACGTTTACATGAGTACAAAGCCGGGTGTTCGTGTAGCAAAATCCGATTCGTCATAAAAGTATAATAATAGTGGGTCGGGGGTGCCGCAACAACAGCGGTGACCTGCCGGCTACAGAGCGCGCGCCGCCGCGGCAGTCTTCTGTGGAGCTTTCTAATGACCTCAAGCGTTCTACGTTGCGCGGCAATACGCATTAAACCACATTAAAAGAGTTAAAAACTTATACGTTATTGAAATCCAGCTTGTTTCACGCGTGGTGGACCTTTAGTGCGGCAAGGACAGGCGCACTCCGGTCTCGGCCTGCGCCCCGGCGCTGAAACGCCAAAATGGACCCTAAGCGTATGAGAATAAATGTGATTTGTAATTAGCTAGCGCGTATGTCAGCGCAAACGAAAATCTAGGTGAGTGTATAAATATTTCATTATAACAACTTTTGTTGGGAATTTAGTTAGAAGAGTAAATGTGTTTTGTGACTGAAATTAACGTTATATGTACTATCTACTAACTTTAACGCAGGTACTTCTCTCGTTTAATATTTCAGCGAATTATTATCACGTATACTAAATGTTGATAATAAGTGCTTCTATAAAATTTTATACAGTTACAAAACACGCAAAGTATTCTTCCGTAACATCTAGGTAAATAATTTACCTGTAAGAGATCTACTCAAGGATGAAATCGAATTGATGTGAAATTTGAACTTTCATATTTTTTATCTTACATATCTTGTATCTTACTCTTCTATTTCTTGATTTATCAAAAAATAATGAATTTTGAGTAGGTAGAAAAGAGATTCTAAATAATCCACATAACCCATTTGCATGGCCTGATATATTGCTGAATAATTATAGTATGATATAGTCATCTTCACTCATACCATACTCGGCAACATTTTTGAAGTCGTCCTCCATCTAATGTATCTTTCTAATCTCTGATTTATCTTTATCTTTGATAGTCCCATAGTCCATCACTTCGTATCTTATGCTCATCATAATTTCCTTGTCGTATATGAACTTAAAAATATTATCCGCCTACTACAGTTCTGCTGAACATAAGCCTTTTTCAAGGCACGCCACTACACAGGTACCACACTAACATAGTGGATATCCAACCGGATACTAGGGTTATTCACACTTCCATAACTGATAGATATCCATATATCTTTTTTAATTAATGACGATGAAACTGAATCATCCACTGTAAACTGTAGTCTGATCATTATCACATTACGGTGTAATTTTATTAATTTAAATTTTTGTTTATTTTATTTCTCGATGAATACCATAATTAAAAATACAAATTCATTTAAGACTGAATTATTTTATAATATAATAATAATTTTAAATGCAATTTTTATAGAAGCTAAATATACATTGTTTTCAATAGGTAGGTATATAACACATAAAATTTTAACAAGATTAGACATTGTCCTATACAAGTAGCATTCAAAACAATAGCATTATTTTTCTGTTTCAGGTCGAAAAACAAGCGTGAATAGAATGTTAAAAACATTAAGTATAATGTAACTATGAAAAAGATTTTATGCTTCGGGACAGGGAAAAATGATGGCGACGTTTTGCAAATTATTTCATTATTACTGGTTCTACCCACCATTTTGCGAGCTCAAAATACCCTGGGGTGCCCTGACTTAATAAGAAGCAATAAATGTTCGTGTTATACATTTGAAGACGGTAAGGCTTTTTTATATTAAAGCACACAGCTAAATAAAATAATATAATGTTCTATAGAGAAAATATTTTTTGCAGGATTATTTCTTGATTGCCAAGATACGATTTTAAAAGATGTCAAAAATGCTCTTAAACGTGTATCAGATATACATTCATTATCTGTATTCGACCTCGACGACAACGAAGAATCTTTAGGATCCCATTTCATACCTCAAGGCGTTTGCATAAAACATATTCATATGTCAAGAACAAGCATAAGGGAAATTGGTGATGACACTTTTATGCCATTGAGAAAGTGCCTTCAAACTTTGAGCATTGTATCGAGCAAAATTAGATATATACCACAAAAATCGTTCGCCGGCATGCTTAAATTGATGTCAATAGACCTAACTTCTAATTACATTGAGGATATACCGAGTTACAGCTTTTACGGTCTTCCGTTAATGAAATTGAACATAAAAGGAAATGTGATACGTGATATATCCGGTTCTGCTTTTTCTAGTTTAGAACTCTCCCTCTCTGAAATTGATTTGAGTGAAAACAATCTAACTACGTTTCCGATAGGCTCTCTTTCGAAATTAAGACATTTGCGGTCATTGAGATTAGCATGGAATGAAATGTCATCGTTTCCTATTGTAGACAATTCTGACTTAATATCTTTAGAGTACCTTGACCTCAATTCCAATAATTTTGAATTTATTTCAGAAGACTGCCTAAAATTTTGTCCGTCCCTCATTACGTTATCATTTCATTTTAACTTTATAAACAACATACACTATCGAGCTTTTCACTCCTTAATTAGCTTGAAATCTTTAGATTTAAGCCATAATAGAATAAAAATATTAAACCCCAACCTTTTTCAAAACAATAAAAATTTAGTATTTATAGATTTGAGCCACAATCATTTGCATCACATAAATGGATTATTCTGTAATCTACCATCTCTTAATGAAATATATTTAAGTCACAACAACATTCTGGATGTGCCAATCGATTCTTTTCTTAATTCTAATAAAATTAGTGCAATAAATTTAGATAAAAATTGTATAAGCAATATAAATAGTGAGAGCTTTAGTAATTTGATGAGCCTAGGAAAACTGCGATTAGACTTTAACTACCTAAATCAAGTGCCACAAAATATTTTTATAAACAATAATAATGTAGTGAAATTAAGGTTAGACAATAATAATTTTGTAGAAATAAATAATAATACTTTTCAATCTCTAATAAATATTAATGAAATTAGATTGAATAATAATAAATTGAAATTTATATCGAAATATCACTTTGCAAATTCCTTAAAAGTGGAAGAAATATACTTGAGTCATAATGAAATAAATTTTATTGAAGCAGGGGCATTTATAAAAATGGCGAATTTAAAATTTCTCAGTCTTCACCACAATAATCTTTTAGATTTTAATGACGTTTTGCCAAAAATACATTCAAACTTACTCACGCTTCATCTAGATTCAAATTCGTTAACGTTATTGAGCAATTTTATGTTTCATTCTCAAGACAAAATGACTTACTTAAGTTTAAAAAATAATCATTTAAAATTTTTAACTCGAAATACATTTCGTAATTTAAGCCATATTACTCGACTTGAATTAAATAACAATGAGTTTTCAATAGTAGAAGATTTTTCTTTTCAGCATTTAAATTCAGCGAGGTTTTTAAATTTACAATTTAACTATATACGCAATATTACAAATTATACTTTTTTCGGTTTAAGTGAACTAGAAGACCTAGATATTTCGCACAATACAGTTAACTTTGTTTCGGATATGGCCTTCGACACTTTAAAAAAGTTAAGAAGCTTGAATTTGTCATTTAATCCTCTTAAAATTCTTCAGAAAAATATTTTTCAAATAGGTTTGCCATTGAGCTCATTATATTTAGATAATTGTGAGATTCAGTTAATTGAAAATGACACTTTTCAAGGACTAAATAACCTAAAAATACTTTCCATTAAAAATAATTCGATAAAATCAAGTGATCTCCTATCTATAAACATACCAGGGTTAAAGTATTTATATATATCTTTCAATGTCCTTGACTATTTACCTTTACAATCATTTTATCAACTTCCACTTTTAGAAATTTTATACATGGAACATTGTAATATAGAACATATTATGGAAGGCACGTTCAAAAATAACAAAAATCTCTTGAGACTGAATCTAGCACAAAATATTATAAGTTCTGTTCCCCTCAAATTATTCGATACACAAAACTCTGTTTCGGAATTTAATATAAGTAACAATTTTTTAGATTACGTGCCATATAATACTTTTCACAACCTGACACAGATTGAAACATTAGATATAGCTGATAATTTATTACCAAGAGTTGAACTTAGTGGTTTTGATAAACTGACTAAACTGAAATATTTAATATTGAGAAAAAATGAAATAAAATCCATAACAGCAACTAAGAAAATGGAATTTACCGACTTAATGTCATTTGATGTCAGTTACAATAGACTTAAAAATATACCTTCAATTATATTTGAAATATTTCCAAATATTCAAAATTTGAATATTTCTTACAATGATATAATAAATTTTGATTTTTTATTATCTTACAAGAAAATGGGAACTTCCCTAATAAATATAGATATCAGTAAGAATCCAGCAGTCTCTTGGAGTACAGCACGTAGAGTAGATAATAATACGCTTCTGGCAAATTTCTATGAACTACACATTTGTGCTACCAATATGTCAAATATTGAGGACATCACATTTGAATTTTTCACTAGCTTACAACACCTATATCTGAAATTTAATAAAATAAGACGTTTGCCAATAAGTCCTTTTTCGAAATTATCTTTTCTAGAAAATTTGGATTTGAGTTATAATAGAATTTCACAACTCAAAACCAGTAATTTTCGTGGATTAACGAAATTAAGAACATTATGTTTATCTAATAACAACATTGAGTCAATGGAATCTTTTGCTGAAGAGTTGAGCAATTTAAAACTTTTAGATCTTTCCCACAACAAGTTACAAAACATTCTTAATGAAGATTTAATAAACTTGAAGGAACTTACAGTTTTGCATTTGAGTTACAACAATATCAAATATATATCAGTTACAGCTTTTAGAAACTTGAACAAGGTAATTAAAATTGATTTAGAACATAATAAACTTCAAACAATTCCTTTAGAACTACTTACTTCCATAGAAAATCATGTCCAGGAGATATATATAAAAGGCAAGTGGAATATTATTTGTTAATTGTGTTTTATTATTTCAGAAATGATGGCTTAAAATATATATCCATATTCTTTCAGATAACATTATGATATGTAATTGTCAAAAAGATAATACCTGGTTATGGATTCAGGATCATCCTAAAATAATAAACTCGAAAACAGTAACATGTCTAAACGATGACTACCCAAAAGAAAAATGTGACGTACCCATAATTTCACAGTTATCCGTTGACAAACACAAGGACAGCTCTGTATCTGTTTCATGGTTTATTAGGAACCGAACAGCAATCAAAGCCTTACAAATTTTATATTATGGTGAAGATGTTCATTCTGATGTAAGTGGTATTTTTATATTTTATAATATTTATAATAGTTCATTAAATTTATATCCATCTTGTTATACTAATAATATAAAACAATTTTCAGGTGAAGTCAAAATTTTTAGATATGAACGAAGTGTCAACTCGCATCACTGATTTGGAACCAAACGTAAATTATGTAGTCTGTGTTATTACTTTATATGATGATCCTATTATTGGCGTTGATGACCAAGAATTCGAATTTAATAAAACTACGGAAATCGATTTAAATGTAACTGCGAGAATAACCCAAGATATTGCTGCTGCTATACTAACACAGTCTCCTTCCAGCGAATGTATCTCCTTTAGCACGTTCCACGAGCAAACGACGAAAAAACAAAAAACATCGAAACCTTTCAATATATCTCAAATACTTAACCGTAGAATGGGTTTAATAGTTGGTTGTTCTTTAGGTTTTGTCGTATTTTTTATTATGGTATCGGTACTGCTGTATACTAAAATTAAAGAAAGGAAGAGAATTGCGAAATCAGACCCAACGTGGTCGGAGATGAATGATTACCATTCGATGCAAAGTAAAGATGATATAGTTCAAAATTCTACTACGGCATCTACTGATAATATTTTGCTAGGAATGACCAAAAGTCGTAAACATTCGTTAGATCAATTGAAATAGTCATAGACTAAAGTAGTATAAAAATACTGTAAGTATTTATTATATTCTGCTAGAATCGAATGTTTAGATAAAATATTAATTATAAGGAAAACATAAAATTCTAAATTACGTACTAATGTTTAAATATGTTGAATTTATTATCTACCAACATGTTAATAGATGCTTAAATGTACGACTGTTCGCTTGTGAATAGAATTAGAGTAGTAAGTAGTATATATGTAGTTATTTATAATATATATAGAATTTTAAAGATTTACTATACTTATTTTAGTTACATAGAAAACAATTATTAAATAAAAACTTGTTGCCATAGTTATTTGTTGTTTTATTCCTTTACATTGTTTGAATTAAATCAGTTGTCGTAATTGATTTTAGGCTGCTATTTTAATCTATTACAAATAACGCAATAACAAGCAATAATATATATCAACAAACAACATTTTAGGATATGAATTAGACCAAAGGGTCGCTTGCTGTCACTAGCTGTTCAACTACTATTGGTTTGGTGTAGACTTGCTGGTTTAGAGGTTTCGTACTCTTATGCAAGCTTTACGTGTAGTTATCAATACTTTATGATGTAGTGCAATAATCATAATCATTTTTGAAGAAATATGAAGACAAATTGAATATTGAATACCTTCAATAAAATTATATATCTCCGATTGATCACTAAACAGTCTCTAATAGTGGGAAAAAGTAAGATATACGTTATTTCAAAATATAAACAAAAATAAGCTTAAAATAAACGTGTTATTCGTTTTTATGTGGTCTGTCTTTTATAATTATTAAAGTATTTACATAAAATATTTTAGATCCTCTGTGTTACTGAAGAATATTTTTAGTATTCTTAACATTTTAATGCGATATTATTTGTAATACGTATTCACCATATTATGACTACTATTACCTTAGATGGTTAAGTTGGATGGTCATTGTTAATTATCGATGTTATGGAGAACATGACACAACCTACAGGGTATTTGACTTCAACGTGGCAAGAGATGAGCTTATCGCTCTATATCTTGGATATTTTCTTATTTTGTTTTCGGTCTATCCTTTACTGGGATGTAAATTCACACACAAAGTTATTATATAAGGCCAAATAGAACTCACTACATTATGGTTAAAAGTCGGGGTAGTAAACCAGTAGCCCTCGACGCTATTAGTGTTTCGATGGATGAATTAGATAAACACTGTCTTTATAAGATTGTTCTTGGTAAGATTACCCCATTTGAGAATTACATATTTGTGGCTCAACTGATAAGTTAACATATTCAACGTGTTAATAATAAAATATCATTATCTTGTGTATAAAATGATAGAAGGCTATTGTTAAATATTGTATTCTACTTCTTGTGAGTCATGTCACCACTATGAGAACGTACGTAATGCCTTATCTTTGTAACTAACGTCTGGATCGAAAGAAATGATACATTTTTAATAACTTTTATGTCCATAACTCATAATATGAAGTTCATAAATTAGAATAAAGATACAATGATAACGCAATAATGTTTCCGTAGTAATAATAGCAATAACAAACGGATCGTACACTTTTTCAGTCAAGCTCTCTTCTCGGAAAGTAGAAAATGAGTTAATAAAAGTTCACCGAAGCATTTTTGTGTACTTAAAACTTTCTTTTGAACAGTATCTCGATTATCAAGAGCTATCGAGGAAAACAAAGTCTTTGAAGTACATCTCAAGTAGTATTAAGAAAATTAAATTAAATGAGTGGTTTTATAGTGAAATGTGAAGATATTTTATATTATATATAGTCGCTGATGGTTCATATTTTTTTCAGCTCAGCTTTCTAGCTCAGCAATTTCACGATGTTTTAGATCAATTTATGAATCATACATATCTATGTATGATTCATAAATTGCTGTTTTTTTGACACAATACTGTATCTACAGTATTGTGTCAAAAAAACAGCAATTTACATCAAAAGTCACTTGTTTCTACTAACAACTCACATGAAATATTCAACGAGTAATCTTGCCCAGGTCTACCTTACACACGCGTGTAATGATCTTACCGACTACATTAAAAAATGAAGTGAAATTTATTCATGCAAAGGTGGAAGTAGTTATACCTTCTATATAGGTTTACCAATAACCTATATTTAAAATCTGTATACAGTGATATAATCTATAAAGAGTACTATATATTAATAAATATAAAGTAATCCCAAAAATCTTATATGCATAAGCTCTTGTCTAAGTAAAAACTAAAGTTTACTTAACTTTCTGTCCAAGAAAGTCAGGGCTTCAACATGAGTAGATTTAAGCCTCTTGGATTGGTAGATTTCCTTTAATGGTTTTGAAAGTTCATATCAATATTCAAACATATTTACTATAATATGAATATTTATAACATTTATGTTGCTCAAAATGTATAAAGGCATTAAAGTAAATACGTAATATTGCTAAAGAAATATGTAAGTAAATAATAATGGAACTGATTCTAATAAATATGGAGTTTTTCGTTTGACTGAAATTATTTATTTTATATTATCGACTATTACCTACATCATTTTCTTAAATTGAAAGCTGCTTCTTGTTTGTAGTAGGTTTTAAGTTATCCTTAATATTGCAATTGAAGTATGTTGTATCGCGGCCTAAACACGTTATTAATTTGAAAGTTTAATATTTAATTAACAATTATTATCACGGTACTAAATTAGTACAATACAAATTATTATATCAATAACACAAACTAATACACCAATATCGACAATCTAACAGAATTATTATGTAATCAATACATTGATTGGGTAATAATTATGTTAGTAGACAAAGTAACGAATTCAGTGACTATTAAACAAGCGTCTTTGCACCCTCCCTCTTTAGTAAATTGTTAACAATAGTTTAACAACCGTAAACTGAAACTACAATCAAAGACCGAGTGACATAAGTTCCCTTCGTTAGGAAACTTTCTGGTATAACTTCAAGTCCATTTCTGAAATTCAAACAATATCGAGCGCATATTGTAAAATAACATTAAACAAATGGATGTTCTAAGAATTACTGGGAACATTTTAATAGTTTTGTAAATTAATTTAATATTAGTGGCTATAGACTTCGTTTTATTACTAGCTATTATCCGTAAATTCTTTTGCTGTTTTGGGATAAAAGGAAGCCTAAGTCCATTCTCGTGATACAATCTATATTCACATTAAATTTAATTAAGTTCCGTTCTGATGTTTAGTCGGGAAAAGGCACTTGTAAAAATCAGACAGACAAAAATTTACATTTTTCTAGCATATAAATAAATTAACATTATTGTGTATATTTTTAATACTGAGACACGTTTCTGCTATTGTACAAGATTTGATCGCAACGCTTAGTATGTGGATAGATTTGCTCGTATGTACTCATTTCATTATACATAATTGTATTAGTCTATCCATAAAGCAACATTACCACTGTACAATACCAATACAATATATAAATATTGTACCTAAATATTGTTTGTCTACACTAATATTACAAAAAGCACAGGATTATACTTTTTTATGTGTGTTTGCTTTTTGATAAATTAATAAAATAATTGATAAGAAAAAACATTTTATCAATAGGAAGAAAGGTATATAACTAATGGGTATATAGCTGTTAAGCATTGCAGGATCCTGCTAGTTGCTAATAAAATCTGGCGATTGCCAACGTTTGAATGGTGACCCTCACACACAGTTCTAAGAATATAACAGATTAATGTTCTTGTGGTGGATTCAAACGTTTGATATATAGCCAGTATGACCACCCTATACATCAAACGTTTAGGTGGAAAGAATTGTTTTTTCAGATCCCCTCAAATGAGGTGTCGTTGAGAAAATGTCAGTCTTATTTCGTGAGATATGAGTTTCCGAAGAGTCTATAATTTGAGATTTTGTTCTACAAAAGGATTTGAAGAAGTCACGCGATTTTGTCGCGTATATATCTTACAATTTATGTGTTTGTGTAAATTCTAACATAGCGACTATTAATTTTACGTTATATATTCATAATAGGGCTGTTAAGTATTTTTTATTTAATCTGTCTTTGACGCGAAATAATATTTATCATAGTAAAAAGTGGTTGTTTAATTTAGCAGCGACATACATATAATTGTAAACTCACTGTACATATGTTGTAATAATAATACAGATACAGAATACAAAACAAAATATTCAGATTATAGCAAAATTTCTCTTATATTGTTATAAACATAGTTAATAGTTACATCATAAACCGTACATTAAGTCTACTTGAATCATTGTGTCTTATTTTTTATTATAAAATAAAAAATAAGTAATATGTGACGAGTAAGGGAGTAAATGATATCTTTTTAAAAAAAAGCCATGTTATAATTCGTACTAGTAATAGTAACTTCTATGATGAGATTATTTTATTCATACCGAAAATTGTTATCACAAAAGTAATAACCCTATTAATATCGAACAGAAATGTATAGGAAAAGGCTCTTTGATCAGAAAGGAATATACAAAAGAAACTAATTAATAAGTAAGTGTAGGCTTTGTATAAGACCCTTTAAATTTCACACATAATAAAATACGACTTCATGTTATCAAAGCCACGACGTATAATAAAATCATTATATTGGGGACTCATAAAGTCTATAAAATAAAAAACAATACCGAAATGTCATTACAATTTTCATTACAGACATTATGTTGAAATTGGTAGGAACACTCTGTATCTCTTTGAGTACGTTAATTACATAGGAGGGTCGCTTTTACGCCCAGTGGCTCTGGTAAGTGATAAATAGCCGTCGAGATTTTGTCGCAGAAGAACTGCGATAAAGGAAATTCTTTGTAATTATCTGGTGGGAGGCCAAAAATTCTGCGGTATTCACACGCTTGGATGAATCCGTAAGTATATGCATGCTATAGACATCATTTGCAAGGAACCACATATTAACACCAATGTTACCTAAGAAGGTACTCTCAGATCGTCATAAAATAAGCAAAAGCATTTAAATAACTCGCCTAAAAATGTGTATTCATAAGAAAGATATATCTATGTATATATATATATATATATGTATGTGTATAGAATATGATACAATTAACTGTTCCATTAAAAACATTACATATTTATAATAAAATAACAGAAACAAAACACAATCGTAAGAGTTGCTAAGTATGTGTAGGTAAACTTTATATATCATTCGAGTGCAATCGTAAACTAACCCAAGCGACGACACACT